TGATTGGATTAGCACCTATGCATTTGAATGACACTGTTATGCTGATGAGATCAAGGCTGGGAAAATGCCGGTGTCGGGCTGATTGCCTGTACTTCATTTGCATGCTATGGGTTAGATTGTCTCCAACTCTACTGAATGTATCCCGCCCCTTTAAAATTTATATAAACTACAATGTAACACTACGTTAGTCAGACTGGGATGACTGCAGCGCCGCTCGAGTCCTCAATAAAGAGTGACTTCTGTATGAAACATATCCCAACGTCTCCTGGTCTCTGCTTCGACGAGGAAAAAGTTTCCTACACATCCATTTACCCTTACTCTCTGAATTCGATCAGTTAGAAAGTCAAGGATCCAACCAATGATACAAAAATCAAAACCAAAGCTCAAAAGTTTCTCTACTAAAATGTGAGGTTGAATCGTATTAAAAGCAGATGAGAAATCAACGAATAAAATTCTAGCATGAGTCTTAGTTCCCTCTAAATGCTGAAGTACCAAATTCAACAAGGTGGCCGTAGCATCCTCTACCCCACGCCTGGCCCTATAAGCAAACTGAAGAGGATCGAGAGAATCTTCTACCATTGTAAGGAGCCCTTTTTTCAACAATCTCTCAAAACTCTTCATTACTAAAGAGGTCAGCGCAACTGGCCTAAAATCATTTAGTTCTACTGGATGATTATTTTTAGCCACCGGGATGACTGTAGAGGATTTCCATAATCTCGGCACCTTCTGTTGAGTAAGGGACAGTTGAAAAATATAATAAAAAATAGATCCCAATTACTCTGCACAGGAGATAAGCAGCCGACCTTCAATATTATCAGGGCCCGAGTTTTTCCTAGCTTTTGAATGTTTAAACATGTTAATAACATCCTGTTCTTCAAACGGAATAGGTCTATTACCAATTAAATTATTTTTCTGCTCACAGAGATTACTCTCAAAATCATGAGTATCAAACCTTACAAAAAATTAATTGAATGCTTGTGCAAGCTGAAAATCATCTCTATACCCTTCCAATACTATATTAGAATCTCTTTTAGGCTTTGTCCCAACTATGGTTTTCATGCCATCCCAGACTGAGCCCAAATTACTATTTCTTAACTCCCGTTCTATCTTCTCTTTATAATGCAGCTTTGCCTTATTTATCTCCAATTTCACTTAACTCAGAAAGATTTACCAATATCAATAACTAAAGTGTTACCAATATTTTGAATATGTTTTTGTTGATGTAGCTGGTCTCTAAGCCCCAGCAGTTTGACGTGATGGTGATGCCTAATCTCTATGGAAATGTGGTGAGCAATGTGTGCGCTGGACTTGTTGGAGGTCCAGGTCTAGTACCAGGAGTCAACTACGGCAAGGACTACGCTGTTTTTGAGACCGTAAGAAAGAACAGAGCATGTACTGGTCAGCCATTAGACTGACTACAGAACACATGAGATATTGTTTGTTTTTATATAGGCCACTAGGAACACTGGAAAAAATATTGCTAACAATAATATTGCAAATCCCACAGCCACACTGCTGGCCAGCTGCCTGATGCTGGATCACTTAAAGTATGTGTGTATGAATATTAATTTGATCATTTTCATTGGAGGATATATATAAGAATATAAATGTATACACATGTAAATATTTTCAAAATATATACTGTATGTGTGTGTATTTATATAGGCCTGCACATTATAAATATACACAGTACACCTACATATATTAGGTAAACAAAAACTTATTTTGGATGCGATTAATCGTTTGACAGCACTAATTTATACTCTTTAAAATATAAACTAAGCTTTTCTTTATAAATTTATTTTGACATGGCATTTGAGTGTTTCCATCTTTGGTAATCATCCATTAGATATTCTGCATCATGAATCCTGTAGGAATGTTGAGCGCAAGTACATCTGTCATCAGTGAATTAGGAAACCAAAAGTTAAGAGGTTTAGATACTTGTCCAAAACACATGCCTGTGAAAGTGCTGTGCAAAGATTTTTGGCAGTCGTCGTGTTATGATTGGTATTAATAACAGCCAATCTTTTGAGGTTGATTTATTTATTTGATTCATCCAACCAACCGTACAAGTATTTTTTCATTTTGTTTTTATGAATGATGCCCAGAAAGGGAAATTACTCGAAGGTTGGCTGAATTAGTGAGCTTTGACAAGCAACAACACTTGTTTTTGACCTGCAGGAGTTCAAATAATTGTAAGCAGGAGAAACAAAGAGGTCAGATGAGAAAAAGATCCATCAAAGGATAGAAAGTCTTTAAAGCAACTAATATCACCCTGTGGTTATTAAATCAATGTAACAACACTCTCTTGATGAGAGAGCAATTGAGTGGGGGAAAAAAAGACAGTTTGCCATTGCCAGCCAGAGGGCAATGAAAAGGAAAGTGATGGAATGTCAGAAAAGGAGTGAAAAGGAAGGGAAAAAGAAGAACAAAGGCCTTAGCAGGGTTATACTGATTACGGGTTTCTGTTGATCACACATACATTCCCTCACATGATTTGAATTATTGGCAAAAAAAATAAAAATATTTGACGATCTTTGCTCACAGCAGGAGGGAGAGAGGGGCACGTGCGGGCCGTTATGATCGCTTTGCTAGTAGTATACATCGGAGTACTGAAGTACCTCTGCAGTAAAATGAGAAAAACAGCTTCTGCATCTCAGCTCCAGCAACGCAGAGAAAAACAGCTCGCGAATCAAACGGAAAAGGGCCGAAAGTACTTTTGCTGTCTGTAACTGTGCTTTCAAAAACAAGACATATTCCAACTGAAGAGGGCTCTCCAAAACAGCCGGGCTCTCAGTTTAGGAGTGCTGAGGATGGCAGTTTCATCTCTTTTCCCAGAGGAAACCGAAGATTGTTCTGTTTTCCTCCTTTCCTCTATCTGTACCCTGGACATACAAAGCAAATAGTCAGGGGGGGAGGGGGGGTGGGGGGATCAGGAATGTTTTGTGAAAGTGCCCAACTAGTCAGGTTACTCAACGTATTTAATATTATTTAATGGAAAAAAAAATTGTTGTCAACATTTAGCTGAAGAACCATGGAAAATACACTTTTAAAACAATATTTACGGTAGACAAAAAAACTCAATTGTGAAAATTAGATGTGAAGTAAAACCATAGTAGGCCTACAGTATAACCTATTGAACCCATTGATTATCCCTTAAAACGCCATTTTTATCCATATTTAACCAAGCAAATTAAAAATAAATAAGTACTTGTAAGTAAACATGCATAATATTTGGGTACCTTCGATCTGAGCAATAACCATGTTCCATCTAAATAATAAATGTTTTAAAACAATTATTATAATAATAATAAATCTAAAAAAGATATTGGTCTCATTTACACACAACCTGCATTTCATTCCCCACCTCCCCCAATCAAGTCTACTTACAAAATTCACATGCAGATTTGAAATGTTTTTGTCTTTCAGCATTTTCATTTTTAATAAAACCCTTGTATTTATTTCAAAATCTTTGTTCCTCTCCTGTCTCTTTAACAATAATTTGTTGTGGACTTAAGGATATATGATTATAATGTAGGCTGGCCTTGTTCCCACTTTCTGTCCAAAGGGGAACCCTCATTTGTGATTTCATACCTTTCCTTACCCTCACATTTACATCGACGCAGCTACTTAATGTCATCAAAAATTGAAGACGTCTTGACCAAAATGTTGCCAAAATGCAGGGCAGTTGAAAGCCCAGTGGAGCCAGCGATGACGCTGTCTAGCTGCTCATGTAACCGCTCTGATTATTGCTTTTTCTTAACTCTTCCAAGTATGCATTCACTCCATCTCTTCTTCCTTTTTCCCTCCCTCCACATGTGTACATCTCTGCCCCTCTCGGTCTGTCCATCACGCTGCTCAGTGCAGGTTCTCATAGGCTGTAGTAATTAGTGTAGACAGCCGCTGCCCTCCTCGAGACCTGCAGTCATCCCGGATCAGCATCAGCGGCTGTGTGCAATAGATCCAGCCACAATGGAAACAACAGCAGGAGTTGCTCAATTCCCCAGCAGGAACTTACAAGGGCCACTGCTTATTTCCATGGTAACATTAGGGGCGAGTGTGAGTGCTCCAGTCTCACCGCAAGGCCTGTTTCACACACACACGTAAGCAGCAGCATGCTTTCATTAGCTGCGCTTATATAGAATAAAGTGATTTCTGCGATTACTGCTTTGAGTGTTCCTTTTAATAAGTTAAATAAAATGTTATCAGGAGTGGTCCATTTGAGAATTATTACAAATTTGATCATCTTGAAATCTACATTACGAACCTATAGTAAAAAAGTAATATATTTAAAATACATTTATTTCATACTAAGTAGTATAGTAGTCTATTAATATATTTAGTGAAATATCGCTCGAGACTTATAAAAATTTATTTGGAGCTCTACTTGTGCACAATACACATTTTGTATTATTAAGCCTAAAATGTGTTTTAATCTCACTATTGATGAGGATTGTTTGATCTTTGAATAATATCTGTCTTTGTCTTTAAGTTAAGTAGGCCTATACCTAAAGTATACTTGCAATAGCTCCACTTTAGCACAATCAAATATACTTCAATATATCTTTAATTGGACTTCAGCACTACTTCCACACAATTAAAATGCAAAATTAGATGTTCACATTTAGCAGACTTTAAGTATACCAGTTTAGTATATCAAAAATACAATTGCAGGGTATTTTTAAGCACAAAAATATGTAAATATTTTTGTAGTATACTTGGCATGAAATAAATATATTTCAAATACATTTTGGTATATTTATCTTTCACTAGGGGAGGAGTCACATTTGCATCTAAATGGTAATTAATCTACACTGAATTCAATCCAAAAACTGTACTGCCTAAACCATGTGTATCAGTTGTGCATACACACTTGCAGGTGGGCAACAAGATGGTTTTAATTATAAAAAAAAAAAAAGATGAAATAAAACTGCTCATATTCAAGACTTAAACATATTTCTTATTTTATTTTTTCCCTCAATGACTGACATTTTTACTTAAGAACCAGGGTTCCCACAGTCTTGGAAAACATGCATGTATGTGGAAATTTTAAAAGTGTGATTTCTAGACCTGAGAAGTCATAGAAACTAATAAAATCCCAAGAAGCCATGGAAATTTCTATAATGACTACATTTTTTCTTAGATATATCAAGTGATGTTAAAATATTTTATCAGGTAGACATTACTGAGAATTTGTGAGTAAAAAGTTTATATTTTTTAAAAAGCAATATATATTCACTGGAAATAAAGAATATAAATGCTGAACTTCTGTAATTTTATTATATTAACTTTAATGATCAAATTATTTAAATGTAATTATTTTAATATATTGTCACTCCTAATTTCTGTAAATAAAGGTTAAAAGCAATTTTCATAACAACAACGGTTTTAAAAATATATTATATATCTTTGAAATATTGTTTTGAACAACTACTGGTCTAGATTCAGACAGATTTACTGAACAGAAAATTTAAGTTTGGAACTTGAATCAGCCCCGATGTGTGTATTTTTGTATTTATTTGTTTTTTTAAACAATGGATGAGTAGTGCAGTCTATACTGAAAAACCATTACATAGACAATTAGCTTTACAAAGAAACAGCATTTTTTTCTCTGTATTTTTTTTTAAATGTGCTACATGTGGCAAAAAAATAGGTTTGACATTGAAACCCTATTTGTTACGCAGTCCCTTTAAGGCAAGTTATTAAAGCAGCAATTTAATTTCAACTGTTTCCATTAATGCAAATACAGCTCCTATCTACCTGAATGTGAAAATACTGAAACATATTTCAATCAGGAATAAAATGTGGTAAAATTGCCTCATAATATTGACTACTGTAGCTAACATCACACACACAAAAATATTTTTTTAAGGCTGATAATGTGCATTAGCATTCTCTCCATTAATTGAACAACTGTTCCACTCCTACAGCAGCCATGATGAGTGTTGCAAAGTGTCATTAAAAAAAAAAAAATCATAAAAGTGTTGAGATTAAAGGGATAGTTCACCCAAAAATGAAAATTCTGTCATTAATTACTCACCCTCATGTCATTCCAAACCTGTAAGACCTTCGTTCATCTTCGGAACACAAATTAAGATATTTTTGATGAAATTCGAGAGCTTTCTGACCCTCCATAGACAGCAAGTGTCCTACCACGATCAAGGCCCAGAAACATAGTAAGGACATTGTTAAAGTAGTCACTTTATGTGTGCAAAGAAAACAAAAATAACGACTTTATTCACCCTTGGAGAGTACCACAACAAATGTGTGATCTTGAAAATTCTGCGATCTTGACAGGATTTTTATATTTGGTTGAACTATCCTTTTAACTGTAAACAGCATTAGTGTATTTAGCACCTTTGGATTCACCAGGATTCCTCTGTTACGTGGGCAGTGTGAATAAGTGTTAATATTAGCATGAACTTGTTAATTTTGCATGCGGTGTGAAACAGGCCTTACGGTGAGATCTGCTATGTAAGAACATCGCATCGGCTGTGCGCTTTATTTTAGCATCTTATGTTGTCCTGTTCCTCAGTGCCAAACAGCTGCTGTTTTTCCAACCCACCCCTCCTTCCACGGCTTCCTCTCTTTCCCACTCTCTCTAAGAATGTCTGCCACCATCCATATTGACTTGCATAGCCATTGCATCATATTGCATTGAATCACATTGTGTTGAATCAAATCGCACTGCATCGTAATAGGGGTGAATCGTATCACATCGCATCGGTAGCTGCTTCATATGAATTTTTAATGTATCGTATCATTGGCTATGCATCGAGATGCATATCGCATCAGCCTCAGTTATGAAGGTGCACATCCCTACCAAAACAATGACTAAGTCAATAAATCTTACAAATAATACGATAAAAATTATAAACTATTTCCATGTTTTTCATGCTGAAATTACGTTTTATTACCGACTGAAAATAGGCTTTCCTTCTCCCGCTCTCTCATACAAACAAACACACATACAGTAAAGACGGAAACATCAGAAACCAGACTTGACAGAATCTGGTTATCATCATTGTCCAGCAAATTTATCAATAATATGATATTTCCCAGTAAGCGAGTTAATAATGTTGCTGTTCTTGAAGCGGTTAAACTAAGCGGTTGCTATGTAAGAACATCGCATCGGCTGTGCGCTTTATTTTAGCATCTTATGTTGTCCTGTTCCTCAGTGCCAAACAGCTGCTGTTTTTCCAACCCACCCCTCCTTCCACGGCTTCCTCTCTTTCCCACTCTCTCTAAGAATGTCTGCCACCATCTGTCCGTTTTTCCACACCGTTCCTCTGTCCCCTTCATCAGCCTCGCTGCTCTTATAATCCAACGGCTGGAAACAGATTTGGACCTCGCTGAACCTGCAGAGGAGCGATCTGTGACTCAATCACTCATGCTCTCATTCACAGATGACCGCATCCTCCTCCTGTTTAGCATTCGTTCAGTGGAAACGGTTCATGTTTGAATGCAAAGTTTAATCGTTTTTCAAGATCCAGCCTATTATTTCAAAGCAAGGAACTGTGAATGTGCGTGCGAGAGTTACGTGTAATGAAAGATGTTGCGGATCATTAGTTGGGTCAGATATCAGGGGCTGTAGTTTCACACTGGCAGCTGTGCGCTGACACCTGTCGAACCACATCTCTACAGGGAGAGTGAGAAACAATGAAAGGCAGACAGAATATATCAGAAGCGGCCATTAAAACGTAGATTAAAAAGCCAGAACTGAGCAAAAAATAGGTGCATGACACCCCTGGAATGTGTGATCATCTCTAAACATATATTTGGCAGACATCTCACGGTTATGTCACTGTGAATGCTGTGCTCACCGTGTGCATGTACTGTATGTGGGCAATGCATGTGTTTAGAGTTACCAGGGTGTCTTAGGTAAACGGGGTGCACTGGCCTTTGCGGCAGAGTTTTTGACCTCAGCAGGTCAATCTACCATTATTTTTAATAAGTGCACCATTATACAATAGTTTGTTCTGGTCCTCAAATTTAACTGGCTGAGCTGCATTCCAAGAGCGCTGATATAACTGTCTAACAACAGCTGGGATTGTTCACTGTTTGCGTAACTATGCTTGTCTGTGTTGGTGTGTTCCAGACAGACTGTCTGTCTGTGGTGGAGATTTTTTAGTGACTCTTTCTGCAGGTTACATCGACGCACCAATAGGTGGCAGCACGTGACTGTCTTAAAGAGTTATTAGAATCATTCACTCAACTGATTTGCTCAAAAACATTGAGTCATTCACAAGTTAAACAAGTGACTGCCTTTCTGAGGGATTTATTCAATAATTTACTTGGTAGATTTGTTCAAAAACACTGATTCATTCAGGAATGAAGTAACTGATTGCCTTTCTGTGCAATTAATTCAATAATTTACTCAACTGATTTGTTAATAAACATTGGTTCATTCAGGAACCAAATAAGTGACTGCCTTACAAAGTAATTAATTCAATCATTTAATAAGCTGATTCATTCAAAAACATTGATTTGTTCAAGAATGAAATAAGTGACTGCCTTACAGAGCGATTCATGCAAACATTTACTCAATGGATTTGTTTAAATATACTGAATTATTCAGGAGTCAAACAAATGACTGTCTTTGAGTAATTCATTCAATAATTTACTCAGCCAAAATTTGTTCAAAAATGCTGATTCATTAAGGAACAAAACAAGTGACTAACTTTCTGACTCATTCCGATTTATTAAACATTTACCCACCCAATTTTTTCAAAAGCATTGATTCAATCAGGAGCTAAACAAGTGGCTGCCTTTCTGAGCCATTCATTCAATCATTTCCTCAACCGATTTGCTCAAAAACACTGATTCGTTCAGCAACGCCATTAGTGTGTATTGCTCAGAGACACGCAACAGTTAATTCTGCTGTGATTTTATTAGGAACTATTTTTGTTGAGGGAAATAGACAAAGTAACTGGCAATGTCTCTAAAATGTAAGTTACTAAATATTAACTTCTTGTCTATTGTTGTATAAAAGAACACATACACACACTTGCACTCAAGTCTTACATTGTTTGCTTCCTTGTTAATTTTCCCACTGATAAACAGGAAAATACTAATTTGCACCCTCTGAGTATTACAATATCCGCTCCGTTCATCTCTCCCCTCACCATATGACATTTCCTCACATTGATTCCTCCTCTATCCATATTTGTCTACCCTCATCTGTAGTCCGTTCTCTCTTTTACTCTTCCATTCTGCGCATTCCCTGAGTGTCACGCAAAGGCATCTTCTTCCTCTCTCAGACCATCTCTTGACCTCAAAGGACCTGCTTTATCCGGCGCAGCCTCTCCATTCATGTGCTTGCAGACAGGATATCGACTGCTCCAGTCACCTGTCTGAATCTGTATTTGGCACCACAGCTTAAACAAAACCAGACAGAGAGTAATAAACAAGGCTTTCATTATTTGCTGAAAACTAATAGCTTATTTAATGTCTCCATGGTAAAAGAAGCAGCAATGATCAATATAGTTCACTCGGTTTTTTTAAACTTTAGGGAATGGTTTGGTTCAAAGGAATCAAATGTTATTGAATTACACATGGAACAAACAAATCCATCCGCCCACACCTCTCCTCTCCACCTCCTGCTCTTTGTTGTCTTTTATCCCTTTCTGTTTTAACACATCATGCTATGTGGTTTTGACTTTCTGGTAAAATAACAATAATAATGCGATCCATGGAGATTGCATATGATTGGATGTGCCTTTTTTGGCTTGTATTGTGCTTAAGCATTCTTTGCTGGAAAATATTGAAATGACTGTGAGACATTACAGTTCTGGCAAAAATAATATCTATATCTAAATTAGATTTATACAGCAGGGATGTTCCATGCTGGAATCTGATTGGTTGACGAACATTCTAAGCTGTGCAATTATTACTCTGGAAACACGTGGCTAAAGTAGTTCCTGGCAGGTCTTGACTGCATTACAGTTCAATATCACTTCTCCAAATGATTTCAGTTATTTTTAGTCAAAGGTCCTTACAGCAAAAGAACCAACACTCCCAAAAAAATCGGTGCATCGGCATAAATGATGCAATGCATCGACTGAAAAAGTGTGCATCGGATACAAGTTTTTGTATCACGATGCATCGTTTCTAACATATTTCATAGGTAAATACGATTTATTTATATATTATTAGTAGTAGATTTTATTTAGAAAGTGCCCAATAATTTGTGACCAATATTTTATATGTAGATTGATTACTCCTCTCTAAACTGTTTCTCAAGCGTGTTCTCTCACCACTGCTTCTACGTGAATATGACATATCACAACAGTACGGAGACCAAGGCATGTCCTGAGAGTCACATGGAATATAGATTAACATGGCTGTCTGTTTGAACCAAATAAATAAAAGCGATCTATCTGTACCATATTGACTTGCATAGCCATTGCATCATATTGCATTGAATCACATTGTGTTGAATCAATCTCTCTCTCTCTCTCTCTCTCTCTCCTCGCATTATGAATGGCTCAACTATTACTTAATTATAAAATTCAGTTAATGCCAAATCTATCTATCTATCTATCTATCTTTGCATAGAGACTTCACCCCAGGTGCCCTCGACTGACCTTCCTCCACATTTATCCTTCGATGTCCCACTTCACAACAGCAGTTGCCCTGACAACATAATTACAGATTATCAAGATGAGAGTCCTTCATAAAGCTTTTACTATCTGCTAGAGAAATACATCATGGCCTTGCTCCTCTACTCACAAAATGATGACAGCCCCAGATAGAGGCTATCAAGTGCAAATACAAAAATCTGCAGTTCAGACGGACAGCAAATATGATGCAACAGACGGAGACAAAGCAAAGGAAATTGGAGACAGAAACACCGAACTGCCTTAATGAGGCACTTTTAATGCTCGTGATGACCCAGTAGCAAATAACTCGATAAAAACAAAACTCCTCATGGAGAGAGTCATTTGGTTAAGTCCAGAGAGATATGCAAGGAACTGAATGATTAGCATGGGCCCTCACCCACACGTATGCTAATTATGCTAACTGAATGGCAATTAATTAGCCCTATCAGCTGAAATTAACTCCACACTGCCCATCCAGAAAGCAAAATGGTCTTTATCACACCCTCTCCAAAAATGACTTATCTAAAGCCTGAAGGTGTGCACTATGCTTATAAATGTTGGTTCCGCTCCACCTCAGCGTTTTTTAATTCAGCGGCGTTCGTGAGAAAAGCGGTGTGGAGACCTGAGATGCATCAGAATGGATTCTCCTGGGTTCAGGAGTGTCCTCCTTTACTGCCTTCTCCATTCATCATGATCAACTCTCTCTCTCCTCTCCTTCTCTTTTTGCCATGCTACCCTTTATGTTTTCCACGGTTCATGCACCTGCAGTGTGAGCCATCTGCTTCTTTTACCATTCCGCTCATTTTCGTTAAGTCCTTGTGGACAACTGTATTCCCCTCATCATTGCATCTTCACTACACGAGACTGAATTACAGTCCAGTTACAGTATTTTCTAAGCTTTCAACCACACATTTAGCTGAAATGTGCAATTTGAAAATTCTGTCATTAATCACTCACCCTCATGTCATTCCAAACCAGTAAGACCTTTGTTTACCTTCAGAACA